GGAAAACATTACAGATCCAATCGTTCTACCAAAAGCAGACCGCGTGCTCAGTTTGTTAGTTTTCCATCTGGTTTTTGAAGATCTAGACGATTACTGCCGGAACCTGAAAATTTTTTAATGCTTGCTAAAACTGGGTGCTATTTACTTACAAGTGCGGGTTTTATAAGTCATTAATGCTGTCAACGTGAGGGGATGACATGTCAAAACAGGCAAAGTGTATTATTCCCAACAACGAGAATATTATTATTATAATTCACAACGTAAACACATATAGTCAAAATCTGCTGCTATTTGGATTATTTAATGGCAAATATTACACCATAGGTGGGAGCAAATATCACATATTAACATCTGATAAAATGTCTGTAGTGGAGGCTCTGAGAGATGCAGAATTTGTTATCGAACATCTGGAAGTGATTGAAAGCAAAATGTGGAATTATACATAATATTCAGAAAATTTGTTTTTTTTATTAAGGCCTTAAAAGAGAGCAATGTAGTTGTTTAAAATGTGACTTCACCTAATGTTCCATCTTAAAAGGAATGCGTACTTGAAAATGGATTCTCTCTTTTCGGAATGCATTATATAACTAACACACTAAATACATTTTTGTCAACTGTAAAATGTACTTTGTATGGAGAACGGTGATAATGTTGATTCTTCTTAATTTCTTCTTGTCTTCAGTTGATATATACACGTCTTTTGTATATATATTCTTGGGCCAAATGCTCGCCACAATAATATGTCTATATTATTGAAAAGTAGTAATACGCAATCTGACTTACGGTTTCTTCAGGTTTATTCTTTGTTACGGATACATAATAAAACATAATAAAGGATGTTACAGGATTATGGACATTCAACAGCAGATGGTAATTGCTGGACTTCTGATGGGAGAGTTACATCGTTGTACAGAGCCAAGAGCCAAGCCAAGACTGAGACTGAGAGACCTCATGTCCCTCTGTTACTATATAGAAGTGCTAATACTAACGTCAGCATATAACTCTAGCCATATAAGGACAAAACCCCCGAATCCACATTCCAGAGCTCTTGGACAAAGAAAGCCTTGTGACGTATTGATACCATCTGTTACTTATGTCAGTCCACACATCCATATATATAATCAATAGAAACATAGAATATGCAATATTCTACATTTCCTCTGTTTATGGTTTGTTTTAAAACCATAACACAATGTCACTAACCTGTCCATTCATACATCACTCGTATCACATTCATTGACCATAGAACAAGATGTAGTCACAACTTTCTATTATATGAGAGTTCTTAGAAGGTCGAGTTTCTATCCCTCATACTGCTTACTTTACTTCAAACTCCCTCTGTTTCAGCTATGTATTGATATCCATATCCATGTTACATCATAACTACTTGAACATATGTACATATATATAACAATAATAAATGAATAAAATAAAATATTTACAAATGTTGATCCAATAAACAATAAAGCAATCAGAAAGATCAACCTGCTCTGGTACAGTCGTATCTTTGTAGATAACATCCAAGATCGTAACTTTCTAAATAATAACTGTGTATCACTATCATATTCCTAATAAAGACACATGTAACAAAGTATTTTCATTCTCAATACCTGATATTACTTCAGTACTAATACATGTATTACTATAATATCCTGTCCAATTATATTTCCATGAATCATATGGTTTCTAGCAACCTTAAAATCTTTAGGTCATTTGTATTCATGAATTACATTCCTATACCATTTATACCATCTAGTGATGATTGTATCAGTACTTTACAATCATAGTATTTAATTTGAATATTCAGTAGGCTCTCACTACCTGAAATATACCAACACTGCTTATAAGTCTCATTCAAAGGATGTGTTATCAACCATGAAGTTTTATAATAATTCTTCAAATAATGTTCATGGTGTTGACAATACTTATTGTCCTAGAAATTCTTCACCCAGAAATCGTTCTATCATAGATTTGTTTTTGTTCACATAATTATAATTTTGACTAAAATTCCACCTTGTAGTAACAAACATTTCATTCAACAGAAACATGGTTTACTTTAAAAGAACTTGGAAAGAATCATTTAAATTCATTAGCATCACTCTCTTCATTAGCATTGTGATGACTTATTAATGTAATACATCTTAAAAGCAGGATTGTCCTAATGTTCTGACCAATCCTTATTCCTTAGTACACTTCAACTGACTAAAATAAAATAAACAAAACTTGGGGTCATACTGCCCAGAAACTCTTATTCCTAGTCTGTGTCTAACAAACTCAGGGAAATCATAAAACAACTTATAACAACGTATTCATTCATTGGATACCATCATATCCAGAAACCTATTCTCCCTAGTCCATACCTTTTATAGACTTAGGTCAAATATAATTGTGTACTATACTCTTTCCATTCAATTCAATTCCTCTTGGATCTCTGAACTCTTATATCCAAGGCATTCTTAATGTATATAATTACTTAATATTAATCAATATAAATTATCCTTCCCTAGTTTTCGTCGTTATGTTTCTATAGTTTGTTTTACTTCGCCTCGATATAAACAAATTACTCATTACAGTTAATCTATGAAATACTATTGAACTCAATCTTTGTAGTATTAAGTAACCATGATCCTTATTTTATCAACTTCATATTTTATCTACCTCTGATACTTCTCATTCCATGTATAGGTAATAATGTAATAGTTCTTTTCATAATACTATCCTTTCGTAATTGTACTCCATGTGTTATCCAGCTATAAGTACTCTCTTTTGGTATTAATACTCATAACTGTTAAATAACTTTTCATTGTCTGTTTTCTTCATTAATATTTAGGAATATATATGTATGTTAGTGTCAATCTTTTATTTCTTTGTAAGTCTGTTAATCTTCTGTATCGAATGAACTCTGTAGAATCTTCCATCACAGTTTGCAGATCAGATGAAAAGTCTCTTTCCAATAGTCGATATCCAGTTGTCTAAAGGAATGCTTTCCTGATTTATTGCCACATGGATCTGTCACGCTTTACCTACATTAAAACAAATAACATGTGCAGCATCAATACAATGGCTTACAATGTTTATATCTCATTATTATTAGACAGTTTAACATTGAATTACATGGACTACACAAAACATACTAATTTCTTCTCATGAGATCTACCATCTAGTGGTCATTACATTTATGCCATGTGATGTATAATCTTTAAATTTCCTTTTATATTAAAATCTTTTTGAACATTTAAATTCGGCAAACTTTTTATTAATCATACCCCCCTTTTAAACTGTTTAATAATCTGGAGGTATAACCTAATCATATGTCAGATGTTACAACAAAATATTGTTTTCCACTATACTTTAGCTATAGTAGCCATTTTGTCTTAACACTGGCACCATTTTGTCACATGAAACAAACTACAAAAAAACATATATTGTTTCCTACATCAAATCTATCTGCAAATCTAGGTTTTATTCTATCAAAACTTTTGTCTTCTATATAATCAAAACATATGTATGTCCAGGCTTTGCAAAATATAGTAATCCATTATCAGTCATGATATTAAAATCTCATTCTCATTAATTAAATCAAAGATTTTAAATCAACCTCAGAAGTAACATTGTTTTTTCCTTCTGTAAAATTATTGGAGTTACTGTATAATTGCATACACCCAATATAACATTGCATGTTCCTAACTGCTACATTAGTGTATTTCATTCTGCCATATTTGCAAACTTGATGTAAATTTTTATTTTAATTAACCTAATACTTTCTTATAACACACACAAACAATGAAAAAACAGTTCAGACTAACAATTCATTAAAACAACAAACTAACATAGAACTCTATTCTTGTGTGCTGTCCTTAATTCTGGAATCAGCCTGTGTACATATGTTGGCACACATATCCATGCTCATTCCCTAAACTGATCATATCTCTTGAAGTTATCTGATTCTTATAACTTTCTGTGTTACACTGCATTGCTTGTCTGTCTCTTAATTTCGATTTAGCTAAAATTGCTTTTATTTGTCTGATTATCAGTTTACAAGGAAAGGCCTTTATTGATTTATCTCCACATGTATTTTCTCTGTCAAAATTTTCAATCAACACATTTAATTTCTCATTTGCTTTTGATTTGATATCTCGGATAAAATATCTGCAAGATCTTAAATAATGTTGTTTATTGCACCAAAAACAAATAACTTTAGGAGTTATATTCTGCCTTTGATTTGAACAAATTGGGAGTGGCTCAGCTGTCTTTATCACTCTTTTACACTGAGTCCACAGAGGAGGGGTGTAAAATCTGAACTTCTTTCTCTGCCTAAATCCACAAGTCGTTTTAACCCCTTCATTATTGGTTTCTCTCCTTAAGTTATCCAAGAACAAAGCTACTTCTGTCAAAGTGCTTTTTTCTCTAGCTAACACAATTGCAGTTGGATCTAGATCTTGAAATTTTTTCACAAATTCATTAATTAACTGATTCTCAGGAAAATTAGCAACAAGTCTATATGCACATTCAAATTTTACAAGAAAACTAAATATATCCTGCCCTTTGTGTGGTTTTAGTTTTTCCAACATTTCAGTGTCTGCAAAATCATTCCCTGTTGTTAATTTTATTAATTGTGTTAATCTGTCTCGCTCATTCCCATGGACTATTTCACCATCTTCGTCCTTAGGGGTACTAATGGGTGGAGTCAGTCTACGTGCAATGTATGTTGGCAGCCATATTTTAAATAGTCTATTCCTTTGTTCGTCATTTAGGCTATATTTGTCTAAATTAGACTCAAACATTTCAGCATTAGTAAATGTATCCACTGACGTGTCATAAACTGGAATACATTTCCCAATTTTCATTAATTGTTCATGGATGTTCAAATTAAGTTTTGCAGCTCTGTCTTGAAATTTACATTTCTGCAAATCACTCTGTGAGGATACATTTTCAGTATCTATTGGTTCTGGGATTAGATTCTGTGCCTGTATTTTTCTTGTATTAACACACTAGTTTAACTTCATTTCTAAGCTGGCAGATAAGATCATTTCTTAGTTCAACTCTATCCTCTAATTCACAGACTTTTTCTGACAATGTTCTCTCTGTTACATTGTTACACTGTTCATTTAAATCTGATTTGTCTTCTGTTAACCCATTCAAATCTACTTCTTTTTCTGCTGATTCTAAATTTTCTTGACCTGCATTTCGTTTACAAATCAATGCATTGTAAGTACAGACTAGTTTCATAACATTTCTGATCTTTTGTTTTTTCTTATTAACAAACAATTTCTTGTCAATTTCACTATTGGCAATTTCACATTGTGTGTATAAAGATTGCCACAAAACAGCATCTGAATAGCTGCTATTACATGCAAACTGCAATTTACTTTTCTCTGCAATATCATTTATGAATTCCATGTTACTCACCAGATCAGTTATTTCTGTCTATTTTGTTGCTTCATCCACACAGCTGCGCAGTTCTTTGCTTGGATCTGGAAATTTGCCAATCTCTGCCACGTGCTTGCTTCTAGAATTCACGTTGTATCTTGTGCTTTTTGTCTCAGTTGTAGAAAATAGTCTTGTACAGTCTTTGATTTGAAAATTTTCTTTTTCTTACAAACCACAGTTCTTCTATGATAGTCAGTCTAGATTATTTTTTTCTCTTCAAGTTTGTTTTCCCACTTCCAAAATAGGTTTGTAACTCGATTCTTCTCTCTCCCCTTGAAGTGGGAACAAAACTTGAATAGAATACTGGCAGGCTAGCCAATGTAAAAAAATGTAGATGAATGGATGTTCATGTAGAATCTTCTTAATTTCTTCTTATCTTCAGTTGATTGATATATATACGTCTTTTGTATATATATTCTTAGGCCAAATGTTCGCCACAATAATATATGTCTATATTATTGAAAAGTAGTAATACGCAATCTGACTTACGGTTTCTTCAGGTTTATTCTTTGTTACGGATACATAATAAAACATAATAAAGGATGTTACAGAGAGTCGTCTTGACATCAGAGAGGAGAGCAAACGGATCGTAGCAGGAAGAGCCTGTAATCCTTTGTCCTTGACTCTATATACCCCAAATTACATCATAATGTTTAGTTTAGACCCTGCCATATAAGGAAGTTCCCTATATAAAGACCGCCTCAGATCTCTTATACAGCAAATTCCAGAGACCTCATGTTACAGAATAGCTAACACCATCTGTTCTGTTTAACCCATTAGACAGCCACACCTTAATATGTATTTGAATAGGAACATACAGAATATGCAATATACTACATCAACAAAATAACTTAAATATTTAACTTTTTTTTTTAATTTCCTAGTGCTTGTTACTAACAATTGCACAACACAGTAGGGAAAGGCAGTGTTTACATTGCAGCCTAGGAACACCTCTAGTGGCTGCTCCTCAGAGGGACACTAGAGGTGCTTCCTGGGGCAGTGCTGCACAGTGTGTACCTCGGACGCTGAACTTTCCTCATAAAAATGCATTGATTCAGTGCATCTCTATGAGAAGATGGTGATTGGCCAGGGCTGACCTTACTCTGCCCTTGTTCTGCCTTCTTGGTTGAGATTATCAGAATTGACGATCTCAGCCAATGCAAGGCTTTACTAGCATTGTGATTGGCTGAGATCTTCAGTTCTGATGATGTTGTAAAGGACTGCGGAATAAGTAGGCAATATATAAATGCATACATACACAGAAACACACATCGATGTACATAGACACAGACTCAAACTCACAAATGAACGCATATGCACATACAGAGACTCCTATTCAAACATATTCACATACACACTCACACAATAAAGCCTCATATACATAAAACCACATTCATATATACACTCAGACTTGCCACACACAGATTCAGATTCATAGCACACATGCATACACACACACACACACACACACACACAAATAATTACTAATAATAAAGCTGCCCCTTTAAAGTGCCAAAAACCACCAAAAATGAAACCCTATAAAAATGAAAAAAGTGAATAAAAATTATAAAAGGTGTGGTGTGTCATTTAGACAGAATGATGTATCACTGTGATAACTTTTGCAATGTGCAATATCATTTAAAGATAAATATCCTTATACAGTGAACTTTCCAAGTCCAAATGTACACTAGCCACAAAAATCTTACAATAGTGCAAAAATATTATACAGTGTAAATATAAAGTGTGATTACAATGTATGTAATAGCCACATCCACACACTCTTCAGAATATACTTACAATACGCTGTAAGTATATTGGACAACAATTCAGGGAATGACAAAAAATATATAGTGTAATATTGCTATACACACAGCAAGATAACATATGGATGAAAAACCACTCACAAACATAGAGCAGTGAAGTCTGTTGTAACTATAATCATTCTGAATGTGCTCTGATACAAGCAGGCATGAAGCAGTACTGCACAGGTAAGATGTTTATTAATCTTCAACAATTTAAAACTGCACACAGAGTAAGAGCGAAGCGGCACATGGAGTCAGAGACTTTATTCAGCTGGCAAAGAATCCAAGGACAGAGAGGGTGCCTTCACCGGAGGGATAAATCTTGCAAGGGGGATTACCAGAGTGGGTTCCGAAAATTCATTTAAATTAGTGATGAGAATCATGGTAAAGTTACATTATATTAAAAACATTATTACATTAAAAACATATGACAATTGAAGGGAGAGGTGAAAGGCAGAGGGGTCTGACTAGTTGTGCTGAGAGTGGATGCTTGGGGGAGATTTCATGATGGCATAGCATCTGTTTGCTCAGGCGTGCCCCATTTGGAAATGTATGGGTGAGATCGACACAATGCCAGGGTCAGTTCTCTGATGTTGATAAAAAGCCTGGAAAAACTCACTCACTCATAGGCAGGCCCCCCTATGAACCAGGCAGTCCATAGCCCACCGGTCCCGGGCAGCCAGCTCACCAGCTCATGCCACCAGAAAATTGGTTTCCATGAGCTGTGCTATGCAGGTGATGACACTGGCAATTCTCCTTTGCTCCCTCACCAGCTGGCAGGGAACATGCTTCAGGAATATGGTGCGGGGATGGTGGCACAGGTGGAATGCTGAATATGGTCTCTGGATGCAGGTGATAGTAGTAGTTGTGACAGCAACCCTGATAGTGCAGGTGGAACCAGATAAAAAGTGTGACAACTGCATTGGCGGTAGGGGTGTTGGCACCTGGATGAGTGAGTTTGGACACAGCAGCAGCTGCAGAAAGGGGAAGGTGGGGCTAAATGGAGGATTAGTGGATGGGGGAATGGGTGAAGTTGTAGAAGTTGTTAGTAGAGACATTTAAGTGTCCTGACCTTTGATAAAATGCCCCTTGAAATTATCTTCCTGTAGGAGTCACATGTAGGAGGATTTGGGAGGCAGCACATCATACTCCCTGTGGGTGGTTGGAGACACAATGATTCTTTGTGGAGTAGGACCAGCAAGATATGTGAGATAGTCCATATCCTCACATTTTCTCCACATCAAAATAACTGATTAACATCTGGTCAGATATCTTATGACAGTAATTTTGTCCCGTAGACAAACTTGGTCCTGGGCCACCTTGACATTCAATATGTGCACACGCAAACACACAAGGGTTTATTCAGTAAATAGTTAAATTGCAAGGTCATTAGTAAATATTTTTGGATACATTTTTTTAAAATTATTTAATATTTATGGATAAACTTGTTTTGAATTTTTTTTTGCTATATTCACAGCTTTAATATCTATAGTCACAATTTTGCTAATAAAGTGTAAATTTAGCGAAACTGTTTTCAATTCAATGCAGTCAGCTGCAAATAAACTACACTTGTTTAGCAATAAACATTGGAGTACAGACAAGGTATTGATGTTTTTTTAAACTTTTAGGACAAAATAATTGAGCAGCAACATTTTGGCTACCTATCAATTTTTCCAGTTTGGTTCATTTGGTTTAGAATGAGTAAATGTTTTCCACAGTTCCCAATTCATTGAATTGCTATGAATTCCCCCACTACTTTTGATGGAGATTGGTGCAAGTTTAGCTCATTGTCTGACACTTTCAGCCAATAAGCTAACCATGCACTGTTGGGGAGAAACATCTGGTATATTCGCAAGGTTAGGGGTAAAACCATTTTAAAGGGGGTGATGGTGATTGTATTTTTCCTGAGATTTAAATAGTTTTATTTGCCCACCGATTGGATGCAGCAATGAATGGGTTAAAATGTACTTGTACTTGTTGACCTTAGCGTGCATGCCTTTGACCTTAAGTCCTGAGTGAGTGGATTCAGAATTTGTTTTGAGCAGCTTTAGATTTGTAGTAAAATGTATTAAACAATAAGACAATAAGGCAATATGGAAATAAGTTGCAAGTTTTACCAAAGGTTCCACAGTCTGTGCAAAAAGTAATTATTTCTCACATCTTATAAAGTCTTTTAGAATTTACACAATTACATAGAACTCTTGTTATCGCAGGTTTCAGCAAAATTTGCTTCCAATAAAATGGGCCCTCTAGTGCAGGGGTAGGTAACTCCAGGTGTTGTGGACTACACTTGCCATAATACTCTTACAGGCATAATGCTGGCAAAGCATCAGGAGAGATGTAGTCCACAACATCTGAAGTTTCGAAGGTTGCTGACCATCGCGAGTTTATATTTTTTTGACATTGCTTATTTGTTAATTGTTTTTTTCTTTATTTGCAGAGCTAGAGAGAGAGATATACTTCTTGACTTTCTTCTGTGACTTGAAAATCAAGGTGTACACAATAGACAGGTGCATATTTTTGGGGAAGGTAGAAAGTGCCTGAACATTCTGTGCTGCATTCTGCTGCATTAGGTTGGATTTCAGTCTTTCCTTAATGCTTTATTGATAAAGAAGGCCCTAAAAAGACATACTTCCTGAAATCATCATGTATTGACAAGAGAATTACAAAATGTGGGGTATTTTTGCTCAAAATTTTGCATTTCTATTGTAAGTTGGTCACATTTCGCTCTTTAGTAAATAACCCTCTAAGAGATCAGTTTAATTTTTTAAGAGGTTATATGAGTGATTACTTAAAAAATTAATTATTTGATCAGCTGAAGTCATGAGCACATTGAAATATATCCGTGTTGATATTGACTGGCACTGACTCAAGATATGTCTCGTGTTGGTTAGTCAACAGGATCCACTAACTGATAATGTTAATTAACAAAGTATCTCACAGCTTGCTGGTGACATTATCACCTTTGAACACCACAGTCATTCAGAATGGACCCCAGCTCTCACAAACGCTATCATGTACATGAATGTGAACCAACAGACAGGTTTAATGCATATTATTCTGGAACAACAGAAAAGTATATCACTGACGAGACTGTAAGATTTCCAATGCAACTGCTTTATAAGGTGGCAGGGCAAGGTTTGTTCAGTTTAATATATTAATACATTTAAAAATATTTCAAAATTTCATTAGTATTATCTATATATTTTTAAATTCTTTATTTTTGCAGTGCATAGAGTAACATACAGGTATTTCAGGACATCATAGTAAAACAATGCTTTCAAAAGAAAATAGTAGCTTAGTACATCAAAGGTAATGCACATTTTGTGTAATGGTATACGCACTAATCATGTTAAAAAATATTAGGCCAGCAGGAGATAGGGAAATATAAATAAACTGCTGGCTATATGAAGGCTGTAGAGGTGTTCTTGGGGCATCGCACCAACATATGGTAGACCTGTTTCCAGCTGCAACTTCATCCTATGACTTGCAGGGGCCTATCATAGATTTTCCACTGGAGTCCTGGTACTAGGCCCATAAGCTCATATTGGTTGTGATGCGCGATCACTGTGTGGCAATCATGTTAGTGTGATAATAAGGGTAGTCCTGCAGCTTGTGCCCCATGATAAGTCGTAAAGTGTGTCTTTGCACCAGTTGGATCTGGGCTTGGTTGATCCCAACCAGATCCACAACTACACTTTGTGAGTACTCAGCATTGGTTCAATCTCCCAGCAACGTGGTACTCAGGTGCTCTGTCAGCTTTGCCCAGAAGGACCCGAAAGGTCCGTGCAAGCAATGTTGGATGTTGTTGGTATCTCAGTTGAATTCAGAGGAGCACGTTGTGTCCGCCATCTTGTATACGCTTTAGTACTAGTTGATTGTTGACATGGCCGGACTGGGAAAAACATTTGGCCCGGGCAATTTTCAAGGAGAAGGGGCAGGGCCAGAGAGGGTGTGTTTTGTCATCACTAATGACAAGCACACCCCCTCTCAAAGTTAGCATGTTGGTTCAATGCGCAGAGCCCTGCTGAAGAGCTCTATCATGAGAAAAAGGCCCTGTATTTGTTCTGCGCACCGCAAGAAAATTTAATAACATGCTTGCGCTGTGTTTGTTTTTAACTTGTCTCTGGTGTCTCCATAAGTGGGATACCAGAGGACAAAAGGGCCAGAAAAGCATATGGTGCATGTGTTTGAAGCCTGCTTGTGGGATTACTTGTGTGTAGAGTGAGCTGATTGTGGTGTGGTATTGTGTAAATAGGTTGTTTTTATTCATGTTTGTGGTGTAATCAGGGGTCAAGTCCTGGGGAAAAAAGTGTGGGAACTCACCCAAGATTCCCGCCGCCTTCCCCCCCCCCTTTAAAAAAAAAAAAATTACACTCCTATGCATATAGTGCAGTGCAGGGTGTGTATAATGAATGTAGTGTGTTTGTAGTGAATGCAGAGTGTGTATAATGAATGCAGTGTATGTAGTGTGTTTGTAGTGAATGCAGAGTGTGTATAGTGAATGTAGTGTGTAGTGAGTGCAGAATGTGCATAATAAACGCAGAGTGTGTATAGTGAATGCAGAGGGTGTATAGTGAATGTAGTGTGTTTGTAGTGAGTGAAGAGTGTGTATAATGAATGCAGTGTGTGCGTGTGCGCGCTGGATGACGTGTGTGTGAGTGCTGGATGATGTGTGTGTGTGTGCTGGATGATGTGTGTGCGAGTGCTGGATGATGTGTGTGTGAGTGCTGATGTGTGTGTGTGCTGGATGATGTGTGTGATGTGTGTGTGTGTGCTGGATGATGTGTGTGTGAGTGCTGTGTGTGTGTGTGTGCTGATGATGTGTGTGTGTGTGTGCTGGATGATGTGTGTGTGTGTGCTGATGTGTGTGTGTGTGCTGGATGTGTGTGTGAGTGCTGGATGATGTGTGTGTGTGTGCTGGATGATGTGTGTGTGAGTGCTGGATGATGTGTGTGTGTGCTGGATGATTGTGTGTGTGTGCTGGATGATGTGTGTGTGTGTGCTGGATGATTGTGTGTGTGCTGGATGGTGTGTGTGCTGGATGATGTGTGTGTGTGCTGGATGGTGTGTGTGTGTGTGTGCTGGATGAGTGTGTGTGTGTGTGTGTGCTGGATGATGTGTGTGTGTGTGTGTGTGCTGGATGATGTGTGTGTGTGTGCTGGATGATGTGTGTGAGTGCTGGATGATGGGTGTGTGTGTTTGCTGGATGATGGGTGTGTGAGTGAGTGCTGGATGATGGGTGTGTGAGTGCTGGATGATGGGTGTGTGAGTGCTGGATGATGTGTGTGTTTGTTGGATGATGGGTGTGTGTGTTTGCTGGATGATGGGTGTGTGAGTGAGTGCTGGATGATGGGTGTGTGAGTGAGTGCTGGATATTGGGTGTGTGAGTGCTGGATGATGTGTGGGGGGGGGGAGCATTTTTTTTACATTATGTGTTTATTTATTTTATTCCCCCCTCCCTGCTTCTTACCTTGTCAGGGAGGGGGTAGATCGCCTGGTGGTCCGGTGGTATGCTGGAGGGAGGCAGCCGCTGCACACAGGAGCCATCACACGCAGTGTTCCCTCTCCAGCTCTAACTCTCGCGAGACTCGCCTGTGCGGAGCGTTGCCATGGTAACAGCCGCAGGTCTCGCGAGAGTTAGAGCTGGAGAGGTAACACAGCGTGTGCTGGCCACTCTGTGCAGGTAGCAGGGCCGGTCCTGCAGGACAGGTAATGGGAACGGCGTTCCTGCTTTGGAAAAAGTGCAGGAACGCCGTTCCCATGCGTTCCTGCAGGACTCGAGCCCTGGGTGTAATATGTGTGGTTAGAGGCTGTAGAGAGTGTGTGTATAGGGGGCATAGTGTGTATAAGGGATGTAACAAGTGTGTGCATATGGGCTGTAGTGTGTGTGTGTATATATAGGTGATTAAGTGTGTGTAGGGGTTGTAGAGGGTGTGTGTTTAGAGAATGTAGTATGTATTTGCTTACAAGGAATGTAGTGTGTGCATAGGGGATTCAGAGTTTGTATGTCAGGAATGTATTGTGTGTAGGTGGTGCAGTGTGTGTGTGTAGGAGATCTAGTACGTAAAGGACCCAGAGTGTGTGCTGTGTGTGTTTTTATCTACTGTCACATTCTATGTTTTTAATTTTCTTTGTCTTTTAACTTACTGATGCTTATTTTATATATTATACATGTTTGGGTGTGTGTGTGCTGTATATGTGTGAGAGTGTGGTGTGTGTGAGAGTGTGTTGTGTGTGTCTGAGGGTGCTGTGTGAGTTAGGGTGCTGTCTGTGTATGAACGTGCTGTGTGTCTGAGGATGCTGTCTGTGTCTGAGGGTGCTGTCTGTGTGAGGGTGCTGTCTGTGTGTGAGGGTGCGGTTTGTGTCTGAGGGTGCTGTGTGTCTGAGGGAGCTTTGTATGTGTGAGGGCGCTGTGTGTGTGAGGATGCTGTCTGTGTCTGAGGGTGTTGTCTGTGAGTGAGGGTGCTGTGTGAGTGAGGGTGCTGTGTGAGTGAGGGTGCTGTGTGAGTGAGGGTGCTGTGTGAGTGAGGGTGCTGTGTGTGTGTGAGGGTGCTGTGTGTGTGAGGGTGTTGTGTGAGCGAGGGTGCTGTCTGTGTGTGAGGGTGCTGTCTGTGTGTGAGGGTGCTGTTTGTGTGAGTGTGCGGTGTATGTCTGAGGGTGCTGTTAGTATGAGTGTGCAGTGTGTGATTGTGCTGTGTGTGTGAGTGTGCTGTGTGTGAGTGCTCTTAGTGTGAGTGTAAAAATGTTTCTATAAATATGTATTTTTTTGTATTTAAAAAAAAAAAATAAAAAAATACTTTATATCCCCCGGTCCCTTTTTACTTTTAGCCTGGGAGGGGGAAGCCGTGTTGCCATGGAGGAGGGAGCCGTGCTGCCTTCCCTGGTGGTTTCAGTGGTGAGAATCAACTCTAGCCTGCAGGGCTAGAGTTCACTCTTGCGAGATCTGAGCATTGCCATGGTAACCGCGGCAACTCTCAGACTTCGCGAAAGGAATCCCTGGGTCCTCTCCTGCCTCCCTCCCCAGCCGGTGGCCGCATATCAGTGCCTCTGGGCCGGCGAGGGAGATCTTTGATCTCCCCACCGGCCCATAAAGGCACACAGCAGGGCCGGCGCTCGGATAGCACCGGCTCTGCATGGGACGACAGGGGAGATCCTGTGATCTCCCCTGCCAGCCTCAGCCAACCGGGATCGCGGCCCACCGGGCATTTGCTCGGTATGCCTGATGCCTAGTCCGGATATGCCACATGCCCTCAGTAGTGGTAGGGTGCCTATATGGAGCTGGATATTTTTGGAGAGTAAAAAACAATCAAGAGAGAGAGTAAGCGCTTAGAAACAAGAAAAGGCAGCAACCCTATAAGGGAATCCCTCAAAAACCCTTAGACTACAACAAGAATAAAAACAGAAATAAGGGCTGCGCCACAGAGGACCTATAAAATATATGAAAATATGATGATAAATCAAATATAAAGGCTTAGTTGAATAATCTTCTTAGATAAGGGTATGTAAAGTGCTTTTTCAGGAACAATGTCCTCAGTAGACCTTCCTCAGGTGGATCCGAATATGAAACAATAAAACACAGTAAAAGACCAAATGGTGTGGTATAGCCAGTAAAATACAACAAGTACTAAAAGAAGATAGTTTTGCACTCACATGTATAAGAGCTATAGTTAGCTCTAGTGTGGAAAGTATGGGGTGGACTAGTATAAATAGGTTTCCATCTTATAGGATAGCAGCCATCTTAATTATCAGTATATTTATGCCCATACACAGTTACCCTCTACCTACGCACAAGACTTGCCACACATAGATTCAGATTCATAGCACACATGCATACACACACACACACAAATAATTACTAACAATAAAGCACCTTTATTTATGGAAATAAAGCACCTTTAAAGTGCCAAAACCCAAAAACCAAACACCCAATAAAAATGAAAAAAAGTGAATAAAAATTATAAAAGGTGTGCTGTGCCATTTAGACAGAATGATGTATCACTGTGATAACTTTTGAAAGTGCAATGTGCAATATCATTTAAAGATCAATATCCTTATATAGTGAACTTTCCAAGTGCAGGTGTATAGTATCCACAAAAATCTTACAATAGTGCAAAAATATTATGCAGTGTAAATATAAAGTGTGATTACAATTTGTGTTATAGCCACATCCACACACTCTTCAGAATATACTTACAATATGTTACTAATCAGGTAAGTAAATTGGACAATAGTTCAGTGATGAATCATATACAGTGGGGGAAAATGACAAAAAAACTATAGTGTAATATTGCTTTACACACAGCAAGATAACATATTTAATGAAAACCACTCACAAATACAGAGCAGTAAAGTTTGCTCTAACTATAATCATTCTGAATGTGCTCTGATACAATCAGGCATGAAGCAGTATTGCACAGGTAAGATGTTTATTAATCTTCAACAATTTAAAACTGCACACTGAGTAAGAGCGAAGCAGCACCTGGAGTCAGAGACTTTATTCAGCTGCCAAATGATCCAAGAACAGAGAGGGTGCCTTCACCAGAGGGATAAAGCTTGCAAGGGGGTTTACCAGAGTGGGTTCCAAACATTCATTTAAATTAGTGATGAGAATCATGGTAAAGTTACATTATATTAAAAACATTATTACATTAAAAACATATGACAATTAAAGGGAGAGGTGAAAGGCAGAGGGGGCTGACTAGTTGTGCTGAGAGGGGAGATTTCATTATGTCATGACTGAAGCTATGGCATCTCTGTTTGCTCAGGCGTGCCCCATTTGGAAATGTATGGGTGAGATCGACACGGTGCCAGGGTCAGTTCTCTGATGTTGATAAAAAGCCTGGAAAAACTTACCATCACCTTGCTGAGGCAGATCCCCTATGAACCAGGCAGTCCATAGTCCACCGGTCCCAGGCAGCCAGCTCGGCAGCTCATGCCACCTGAAAATTGGTTTACATGAGCTGTGATATGCAGGTGATGACACTGGCAATTCTCCTTTGCTCCCTCACCAGCTGGCAGGGAACATGCTTCAGGAATATGGTGCGGGGATGGTGGCACGGGTGGAATGCTGAATATGGTCTCTGGATGCAGGTGATAGTAGTAGTTGTGACAGCAACCCTGATAGTGCAGGTGGAACCAGATAAAAAGTGTGGCAACTGCATTGGCGGTAGGGGTGCTGGCACCTGGATGAGTGAGTTTGGCAACAGCAGCAGCTGCAGAAAGGGGAAGGTGGGGTTAAATGGAGGATTAGTGGATGGGGGAATGGGTGAAGTTGTAGAAGTTGTTAGTAGAGACATTTAAGTGTCCTGACCTTTGATAAAATGCCCCTTGAAATTATCTTCCTGTAGGAGTAATATGTAGGAGGTTTTGGGAGGCAGCACATCATACTCCCTCTGGGTGGTTGAGACACAATGATTCTTTGTGGAGTAGGACCAGCAAGATATGTGAGATAGTCCATATCCTCACATTTTCTCCACTTAAAAATAACTGATTAACATCTGGTCAGATATCTTATGACAGTAATTTTGCCCCGTAGGCAAACTTGGTCCTGGGCCACCTTGACATTCAATATGTGCACATGCAAACACACAAGGGTTTATTCAGTAAATAGTTAAATTGCAAGGTCATTATTAAATATTTTTGGATACATTTTTTTAATTATTTAATATTTATGGATGAACTTGTTTTTAATTTTTGTTTGCTATATTCACAGCTTTAATATCTATAGTCACAGTTTTGCTAATAAAGTGTAAATTTAGCGAAATTGTTTTCAATTCAATGCAGTCAGCTGCAAATAAACTACACTTGTTTAGCAATAAACATTGGAGTATAGACAAGGTATTGATGTTTTTTTAAACTTTTAGGCCAAAATAATTGAGCAGCAACATTTTGGCTACCTATCAATTTTTCCAGTTTGGGTCATTTGGTTTAGAATGAGTAAATGTTTTCCACAGTTCCCAATTCATTGAATTGCTATGAATACCCCCACTACTTTTGATGGAGATTGGTGCAAGTTTAGCTCATTGTCTGACACTTTCAGACAATAAGCTAACCATGCACTGTTGGGGAGAAACATCTGGTATATTCGCAAGGTTAGGGGTAAAACCATTTTAAAGGGGGTTATGGTGATTGCATTTTTCCTGAGATTTAAATAGTTTTATTTGCCCACTGAT